GCTTTAGCTGGCACCTCCAATCTTGCACACAACAGCATAAAGCCCATGATGAACCTTATGCTGTTGGGCGTTAGCTGCGTCAGCGCCAACTCGTACTCCGCGAGCAAATTGAATACCAGGCCGGGCAGGGGAAACCGCAGGCCGGCGTCGAAGTGGTCCACGTACACTGGTATCCAGCCCGTCGGCGACACTGTGCACGCCCTTTCGTTCTGCCCGCCCGTCCGCAGTAGTATGGTTTTGGGAATGTGGTACGCCCTCACCATCTCCTCGAGCCTTCTGTACCCACTTACAGAGGGCGTACAATCTGCTACTTCGTGATGAAGTGCAGCCTTGAACCTGAATCCAGCGGGCAGGTCCTTCGGTGCTTTTCGCATGTTGCTCAACCTGCCCGGTACGGTTCTGCTCTCCCATTCTCCCATCACAGGCCGATCTGAGACATGGCTCACTACATCCCCTGCCTCCTCCTCGCGGCCTGGTGTCCCCTCGGACGAGCTGCTCGATGATGTACTAGGGTGGTCGCCACCGTTGTCACTGGCGCTGGAACTGGTGCTGCTCTCTGACGCCATTGTTTCCGGCATATCCTGCAACTCCGGCGGCACTATCATCGTGATAGGCTCCACTGACAAAACCCCCCCCTCTTCTTCCTCTCTGCCCTGGTTACCTCGTTGCTCTGCGAATTCTCTCAATGAAACCATTTTTACCTGAAACTGATGTGAAGGTTGACTCGATGTACTGATTCTTCAAGCTGGAGCGTCCTTGCTTCAGAGAATTTGAGAGAGTTTCAGCAAATACAGAAATGAAAATGGAAAAGGGAACGGTTACGAGAGAAACAAAACCAAAACAATCGTATTAAATGCCGTACGCGTGTCTCTGACGCGCCAATAGGCGTCTTACACGTGGTAGGCGTTTAACCGCCTTTTGCATAACGTGCGCCGCCTCTGGCTATCACGCTCCTCAAACGCTGCGCCAGCATTTATGGCGAGGAAGGTAAAGAGATACGGAAGAGCAAACGTATCTCCTCAGAGATCTGGTCAGATTCGGTTGATTTAAAAATATCAAAGATTCAGATCGGCAAAGATCGTCACTCCTGATGTATACCCTATACTGTCACATCAGCTCGCCACTGGAGCACACTTATCAGGTCGTCACAAAGATGACATTTTGCCAGATTGGCTCAACTGTGCCAGTTCGTTCACAAGTGTAGATTTTTTACTAAAATCCTCCAGGATTCAGCTCGTTACATGTCATGACGACAACCACATTTGTCAGGTCGTTACACGGATTGCAACTCTCACACAGGCCACAAACTTTTGCATAAATCAGTAGGTGCCCTAGGTCGCCCTATTTGACAGCACCGCTCGGGCGGGCTTATAAAGTGGTGGTCAACAAACTCAAGTCGCCTCACCTCGCGATCACGGCTAACTGAACGTCACCTGGTCGCACTTCGGTAGCACTCAAAGCTCTGGTCGCCGCATAGACGGTCTGAATCCTGTTGCGGATCACTTCAGCTCACCGCCATAACAAGTCCATGTTAACGTGGCTACGAAGGTCAGCTCGCCCACACATTTTCAGGCTCGCGAGCTCGCCTCTTTTCGTTTTACCTATCAACTCGCCCCTCGTCGAGATCGGCCGCAGGCTGTTAAACCCGCTTGGAATAGGCCCAGCCCAACACCGGGCCTAACACCCAAGCAGAACTGGGCTATGCATAACGGGCCTAGGTTACCACCTGTTGGCCCAAGCTGAAGGGGCATCAGTACAAGCACACCCACGTGGGCCAACGACGAACTGACTGAGCTCCAACAAAGCGTGACAAGCTGAAAAAGCTCCAACAAAGCATGACGAGCTCACAAAACTCTAATGAAGAACGACGAGCTTGCAAAGCTCTAACAAAGAATGATGAGCTTCCTGCTTCTAGGTCGTCACTCTTTGGCTTCCTGGTTCAGGTCGCCACTCATCAGTTTCCTGGTTCCAGGTCGTCACTCCTGAGCTTCCTGCTCTCAGGTCGTCACTCTTGAGCTTCCGGGTTTCAGGTCGTCACCTCAGTCTCCTGGCTCTAGGTCATAACGCCTCGGCTCCGGCCGCTATGACTTCGGTCATCACTATTTACCTCGGCTCTGACCATAGTGACCCCAAGTTACCTATTTCACTTCAGCTACGGCTATAACATATGACTCTGTGTCATGCATTTCTACCTCAGCTATGGCCCAAAACACGTGCATCGAGCTCACCTGGTTTTAACACCAGCTCCCCCACGCCTGCTCGATAGGAAGCCGGCATACACATGCACAACAGACTTGGCCGCGATGGCTTTAGGCCGCCTAGATCGGTCGTGCGTGAAGGCGGACATGAACATAAAACATCACTCCCAACCCAGTTCGTCAACCGAACACCGAGGGGGGAGTAATGTTGGGATTAGGCCCAACGCCCTCTTAGGGCCACATGCAGCAGGCCCAACTACGCACCCACAGGCCCAAGAGGAGGAGACATACCCACGTGAGCAGCACCACATGGGCCAATGAGAGGCTTACATGTGCAGATACATGTCAGCACTTGGGGCTATAAATACCCCCCAACCACCTCCGAAGAAGGTAATTAATCCTTACGCTTCTCTCTCTGTAATTACTCCTTGAGAGCATGTCTCCCTAGAATACTGAGTATTGCTGACTTGAGCGTCAGAGTGTTTTCCCCGAAGAAACAACCTCGGGATTTTCAGGTGTAAAAGCAGCTGAGGATTTCAACAGTGTTGGATCGCGAAGCTGCCGAAACAGCTACTATTCAGCTGTTCAACCAAAACAAACAAAGAAAAACAGACATACATCCAATTGATTTCAGATCCATGAAATTAAAAAGACAATACTTGATTTGATTTCATTCGCGATATCAACCTCAAATACAAATGCAGTACATCAACAGTTCAACACAAAGAAATTAAAACAACCATGGCGAAAATTTTGGAAGAAAACAGATCAGGATCGGAGGGAGGGATCCCACCCACGGGATCAAGCTCCAACCTTTCCTTCACCACCCTCCCCCAAAACCTCCTCTGATCAGAAAACAAAAACCAAGGAAATGCACAGTCTCCTCCGGTGATCTCCTTTCTCTTGCTCTCACCTCCGGCAACCCCAAACTCAGACCAAAAAGAACAACCAAGAGAGCCTCCCAATTCCTAACCCACAACTCTCTATTTATACCCCTCATCCAAAACCCCTCAATTTTTTTTTTTTTTTTGGTTTTTACCGTTGCTCGGGTGAGGCCAAAACTGGCCCTGCAGAACAGCCAAGCAATCTGGGCGTGATGTCATCCTGCAGGTTTGTCTCACGCACAGCAGCAGGGTCCACGCAGCAAAGGGGCGCAGAGCAAGGGAATCTGGGTGTGATCGGGGTGCAGGTTCGGAGCAGCAGGGGCGCAGGGGCGCAAAGGGGAAAGTGCAGGCGCTGGGCGCAGAATCCAGGAGCAGAAGCATGCAGGCGCAACAAGCAGGGGATCGCAGTCGCGTGCTCGGTGCAGCAAGCAAGGTCAACGGCGCAGAGCAAAGGGGATCTGGGCGCGGGCTTGGTGCAGGCGCAGGAACAAAGGCGCAGCAGAGGGTGCAGGGCAGGGGCGCAGGCTGGTGCAGGGCCGGTGCAGGGGCTAGTGCAGGGGCTGGTGCAGGGGCTAGTGCAGGGGCTGGTGCAGGGGCGCAGCAAGCAGGATCGCGCAGGGCAGGAAATCTTTCCTTTTTTTTGTTTTCTGTTCTGCAGCCCTCCTCCTTCTTATTGGCATGCTGCTGGCTTTGGAAGAGAGAGAAGGCTAGGGTTGGGTTTTTTTGAAGGATATTCCGTTCGTCCCCTTTTTTTTTTTTTTTAAAGTGGGTTTTGGGTAGTGGGCTGGTTTTTTATGGTTTTTGGGTTTGGGTTTGAGTTAAATGAGTATTGGGATTTTGGGCTTGGGTTTGATGGGCTTTGGGTTTGTAAATTCATTTTGATGAACTTCACCCCTCCAACTTTTAATTTCTTCAATTGAGTCCCTTCTTTCTTCTTCTTGAATTTTTTCAATTTCTTTTTGCATGTAGCACCTGAAACAAAATAAAGATATATTAGTCAAAGGAAAAGGAAATTTTCATATTTTTATATTTTTGATTTTCTTTTTTGATAAAATTTTGAGTTATGACAATAATTGTCAAAACCAAAAGGAAGAATGAGATCCAATGAAGAATGAGGGGTAAGGAGACCCTGAGCTTAAGCTAATTGACTCATCTATCAAAAGTTGTTTAATTTAAGCCATACCTAGAAACCAATTAATAAGGAAAATGTATAGATCACAAAAATGCAGTAAAACCCACAATTAAGAAACAAAAAATGAAGAAAGTGAAATGGAATAATAAAAGAAAAATGTTGTTTCAACCACAGATATTAACCAATCTTCCTACCCCCAATTCTATTTAACTTACTTTTTGAAAATTTTGGCCTACTAAATACAATTACCATTAAATAACCAACAAAACAAAACTCTAAGGAACAAGCAAAAGAAAAAGAAGAGAATGAAATGCAGTAAACAAGTCAAAATTTACTTACTAATTGAAATTTATGAGAGCTGAGCAATTATTTTAAAGCTGTAATTTCCCACCATGCCGTGCCTATTCTGTTGTGGTGATTCCTAGATGGATCTCCCTTTCCTGTTCACTTCAAACTATAAAAATTACTTCCTTTAGCGACTAAAAGAATCTAATTAAGATTGCAAATGATATAAAGAAAATGAAATAAAATAAATATGATTGTTTATGTGGTAAAAATCACCTGCAAAGTTGGAAGAAGGCTGGTGATGAAGGGTTGCCATAGTGTTCTCCAGTGCTCACCTCAGCCAAGTAAATGGAATTTACAATTATAACAATATATCAAACATGAAAGGTATTACAAAAATTACATTTCAAATTGATAAAGAGTCACATTTTATCAATCAAACAGAGTAGAAATCCCATAACACAACATGCTTGACAACTTAATTACAACAAAAAACAAATTACCAAATCAAACCAACACACTAAACCAAGTCCATCCAATAAATAAAAGACACATAAATTGAAAAAAAAAAAAGATTATTATCAATCAAATGAAGGAGTATTGGGTCCGCTGAGTCTCATTTTTCTTTTGCTTTGCTGCTCCAAGAAAAGTTGCCTTCGCTTGCTAAAAGATCCTACATGCAATATTAGCGCTTTAAAATATGTCAGAATCTAGAGAAAAGAAGCGACCAACAAATCGATCCTAAGAAAAATTATAGGAATTGAAGTCATAGTGAATGATGAAGTATGATTCCATAGTACCAAACTAGTTTGCAAGATGTTGAGAAATCTCAGTATATCATAACTATTAAAAGAAAAAAAATGAAAAGAAGAAAAATGGAAATATTAATGTTGCAACCACGATTTTATTAGTTGATCATATTTTTCCAAGTTTTTAGGATGATAAGCACAATTCTCATTTTATTTACTCGGTGATCAAAAGGGGCTCAAATTCCACCACACATACCCAATACCCAAAGAAGAGAATAAACTAGTGAAATCTTGTACTCGAAAACACCAAAATTCAAAAAAATCAAACTAGAAATAGCGAAATTGCAACTTACATAATTGGAGTTTATGAGACATGAGAGAAGAGGGTGGATGTGTCTCAATCTCATCTCTCCTAAAATCCCTTCTCTCCTACATCGACTTTCTAGTTGGCTTTTGTAGAGGAAAGGCTTTTACTGCCACGTGTTATTGTGGTAGCACATGGCTTCTTATTTACACACATTTGCTGCTCTACAGTTATCTGAACAAAATTGAATATTTCTCAAGGACTACCCTTGTAGATGAGATGATAAAAATTTTGAGCAATTAAACTATCAAATTCAAATTAGAATAAACCAATCAACACCTTACCATAAATATTTCATGAAAGGTTGGAGTATGTTCTTAGCATTAGGATGATCCCACTCCACCACTGATTGCCACCATTTTTTTGAGTGTTTAGAAATATTGATTTTTTTGAGATGAGGAGGAGGAGATGGTTGGCCATTATCAAGTAAGGGAAGTTGCACAGGGATCCTTTTTAACTCAGGACATTTCCTTATCCAAATTTCTTCAATAGAATTGCAAACCATAACTCCTTTGGCACTGCAGATGCTCTTCAATTGGGGTAACCTCCACAACCACAAACTCCTTAACTTGGGAAAAGTGAAAGTGAATTTATCCGATGATGATGCATTTAAATCTGATGAGGCTATTATCTCCTCCATTTGTTTGCAACCATTAACCCAAATCACCTCTAAGTTTTGGAGGACTTGCAGTAGCTCAAGTGGAAGCAACTTCCTCATTCCTGAACATCTTTTTATACGAAGTGTCTTAAGATTGGAAAAGACACGTGGCGGTGTTGCTACTCCTTCCACTCTCACGAGTGCCCACAACTTAGGCAAACCCCAAAGATACAGACCTTCAAGCTTATCAAGTACTGGTTTACACGATAAGGAGGAGGATGAATCCAACTCAACCACGTGCTCTGTCTCTTCACAATCACTAATAATACAAACACCCAACTCAGTTGCATTTTCTAACAAAACTGTTTTGTTTAAGCTGCTTCTAATGTTTTTACATTTATGGATCCGCAAATGCTGAAGCTTATCTGGAAGCACTATACATTGTTCTCCAATGTCACACTCACCAATTACAAGTCTGCATTTATATTTAAGATTGTTAATATCCCTACTGTAGTTTATTGTTGTTCCCACCACAAGGTTATAAGTAGTAAAACTTTGAAAATTTTTGAACTCACTCAGAAAAAAATTGAAGCCTTGCATGTCATCCAATTTACATTCTAAAACCTCCAACTTTCTCAATCTAACAGCCTCTTCTAAGTTGATCTTTACACTAGGTCTTCCCCACCAATCTGTTACCACCAAATACTGGAGACTAGATAGTTTAGACAATATTCCTATTGGAATCTCTTTCAAATCTCCACAAAATAAATCTAGATATTCAAGACTTACCAACATCTCCATGCCTTGAGGGACCACCTCAATTCCTGCCCATCTTAGATCCAACTTCTTCAATACCACAAGCTTCTCTAAGGAAGGCAAGCATTTTAACCTCGTGCACTGCCTTAATCGCAGTGCAGAGAGATACTCCAACTTAGAGATGGAACCAGGTAAAGCTTCAATCTTGGTTCTAGAAAGATCAAGAATCTTGAGTCCACTCATATGTTCAAAAAAGGATTCTGGAATCTTTGTCAAAGGATTGTCTGATAATATCAAAGTTGACAAGGTTGGACACTTTGGAGTCAAACCAACAGGAATTTCTGAAATGTAATTGGCCATTAGAGACACTTTGTTAAGATCAATTGTCCACTCATGCTCATTTGGTACCTCTGTCAATTTCTTACCAGCTTTGATCATATATCCAACTTCAGGACCAATGCTTTTGATAGCCATGTCTCTCACCACATCATGCATCTTAAGAACTTCATAAGAAAAGCAATTAACAGTTTTCTCTAACAAGCAGTTCTTTTCAAGCTTATTTAAAAAAACATCAGCCCTATCATAAGCATCTTTTCTTCTTTCTGACTCATGAATCAATCCTTCATCAATACAGCCTTCTATCAAACTTTCTCTAGGAATCTCATAATCTTCTTCAAATAAAGAGCAATATAGAAAACATTTTTGGATTTCTAACTTTCTTAGACGGTCATAACTAAATCTTAACCGCCTAAATATCTTTTCCTCCATATCATTCACACTTTTTACGCGTTGGCATAAATCTTTTAGTGCATTTCTCCACTCTACAATATTAGGTTCACCTTCTCCCTTCATGCCCCCTGCTATTACAACAATTGCTAGTGGTAAACCGGCACACTCCTCCACAATAAGCTTCAAAATTTCTTCCAATCCTGCAACTTGTAAAACATCGTGTCCAACCCTGCTGAGGAATAAATTTAAAGACTCCTCTGCTGAAAGAGGCTGCACTTTAACAATCTTACAACCCAAATAATTGCATACTTGAGCTGTTCTACTGGTGATAACTACTTTACACCCATTCTG